CCCAAAAAGAGAAAAAAAAAAAGGGGAAAAACGCGCGATTTCCTCCGTCCTCAGGTGCCGGTCTCAGGCACCTGCCCACCGGTTCCGCAGGAAAAAATGTGGGATATTCTTTGTCGTCAGGCGCTGGTCCCAGGCACCCGCTCACCAGTCCTGCCACCCTGCCTCTCTAGCAACGGGGTCCCTGTCCCTTTAAGGCTTCCGAAAAGCACTCGCCAAAAAGAAAAACCGCTCCGATTTCTTTCCACTCGCCGGGAGCCTGGGGGAGGGGCGCTCGGGTCTCGCCGGGCCGGGGCTTGTATCTTACCCCCTTCCCAAGGCGCTGGGTTGTTGCAGGTGTGGATGTCGTCTGGATGTTGTCCTGTGTCCTCTGGTCTCTATTTTAGGAAGAGTTTTCTTTGTTATATTTTCATAGCTCTATGTGTTTTTGGGAGGAGATTTCCACTGCTCTACTCATGCCGCCATCCTGGCTCTCTTTATCTCTATTTTAATTTGTTCGTTGATCCATTGATTATTTAAGATCATGGTGTTAAGCCTCCATGTGTTTGTGGGCGTTTTTGCTTTCTTTGTACAATTTATTTCTTGTTTTGTACCTTTGTGGTCTTAAAAGTTGGTTGGTAGAATTTCAATCTTTTTTAATTTACTGAGGCTCTTTTTGTGGCCTAGTATGTGGTCTGTTCTGGAGAATGTTCCATGTGCATTTGAGAAGAATGTGTATCCTGTTGCTTTTGGACGTAGAGTTCTATAGATGTCTATTAGGTCCATCTGTTCTAGTATGTTGTTCAGTGCCTCTGTGTGCTTACTTATTTTCTGTGTGGTTGATCTGTCCTTCGGAGTGAATGGTGTGTTGAAATCTCCTAAAATGAATGCCTTGCATTCTGTTTCCTCCTTTATTTCTGTTAGTATTTGTTTCACATATGCTGGTGCTCCTGTGTTGAGTGCATATATATTTATAATGGTTATATCCTCTTGTTGGACTGACCCTTTTATCATTATGTAATGCCCTTCTTTATCTCTTGTTACTTTCTTTGTTTTGAAGTCTATTTTGTCTGATACTAGTACTGCAACACCTTTTTTCTCCGTATTGTTTCCATGAAATATCTTTTTCCATCCCTTGACTTTTATTCTGTGGATGTCTCTGGGTTTGAGGTGAGTCTCTTGTAAGCTGCATATAGAAGGGTCTTGTTTTTTTATCCATTCAGTGACTCTATAACTTCTGATTGGTGCATTCAGTCCATTTACATTTAGGGTGATTATCGATAGGTATGTATTTATTGCCATTTCAGGCTTTAGATTCATGGTTACCAAAGGTTCCAGGTTACTTTCCTTAGTATCTCAGAGTCTAACTTAACTCACTTAGTATGCAAACACATACACTCACTTAGTATTACAAACACAGTCTAAAGGTTCTTTTCTGTTTCTCCTCCTTTTTCTTCCTCCTCCATTCTTTATATATTATGTATCGAATTCTGTACTTGTTGTCTATTCCTTGATTGACTTTAGGGATAGTTAATTTAATTTTGCATTTGCTGAGTGATTAGCTGTTCTAGTTTTTTTACTGTGTTTTTATTACCTCTGGTGACAGCTGTTCAACCTCAGGAACACTTTCAGCTATAGCAGTCCCTCCAAAATAGACTGTAGGGATGGTTGTGAGAAGTAAATTCTCTCAACTTTTGCTTATCTGGAAATTGTTTAGTCCCTCCTTCAAATTTAAATGATAATTTTGCCAGATGAAGTAATCTTGGTTCCAGTCCCTTCTCCTTTATTACATTAAATACATCATGCCGCTCCCTTCTGGCTTGTAAGGTTTCTGCTGAGACGTCTGATGATAGCCTGATGGGCTTTCCTTTGTATGTGATCTTATTTCTGTCTCTGGCTGCTTTTAACAGTCTGTCCTTATCCTTGATCTTTTCCATTTTGATTACTATGTGTCTTGGTGTTGTTTTCCTTGGGTCCCTTGTGTTGGGAGATCTGTGCATCTCTATGGCCTGAGAGCCTATCTCCTTCCCCAGATTGGGGAAGTTTTCAGCAGTTACCTCCTCAAGGACACTTTCTATCCCTTTCTCTCTCTCTCTCTTCTTCTCCCGGTATCCCTATAATGCGAATATTGTTCCATTTGAATTGGTTACACAGTTCTCTCAATATTCTTTCATTCTTAGAGATCTTTTTTTCTCTCTGTGCCTCAGCTTCTTTGTATCCCTCTTCTTTATGTTCTATTTCATTTATTGTCTCCTCCACCATAGCCAACCTGCTTTTAATACCCTCCGTCATGCTCTTCAATGATTGGATCTCCGATCTGAATTCATTCTTGAGTTCTTGGATGTTTTTCCGTACCTCCATTAGCATGTTGATGATTTTTATTTTGAACTCACTTTCAGGAAGAGTCATGAGGTCCATATCATTTAAATCTTCTCGGGAGTTGCATTAGTAATTTTATTCTCGACCAGGTTTCTTTGGCGTTTTATATTTGTATATGGTGCCCTCTAGTGTCCAGAAGCTCTATTCTGGAGCTTCTCAGCCCCTGAAGCAATGCCGGGGTTGCAGGGGAGTGGTATTGGTGCCTGCGGGTAGGATAGAGCTGTTCCCTGCTTACCTGCTGCTGTGCCTGTCTCCACTGCCTGAATCAGTGGGCCGAGCACACAGGTATAAGCTTTTGTCCCAGAGCAGCCGAATACGGATCCCTGCTTTCCACAAGTGGCCGGGAATCCCTGTCTACCCAGGAACTCCGCCTGTCCCAGCTTTCCAACCCTGTAATCAGAGGAGTATTATGAAAGCACCATGAAATGTAGGTTTGTGCTCCCAGTGCAGATCTCCAGAGCTAGGTATTCAGTAGTCCCAAGCCTTCCATTCCCTCCCTGCTCTGTTTCTGTACCTCCCTCCAGTGAGCTGGGGTGGGGGAAGGACTTGGGTCCCGCCGGGCCACGGCTCTGGTACGTTACCCCATTCTGTGAGGTCTGCTGTTTCCTCCAGGTGTATGTAGTCTGACGCCATCCTCTTTCCTGTTGCTCTCTCAGGATTAGTTGCACCAACTATATTTTCTAATTGTATCCAGTTTTAGGAGGAATCCTCTGTCTCTCCTCTCATGCCACTATCTTTAATCCTTCTTCCAGATCATTTGTTTTTTTAATTGGGAAACCATACACATATCTTGTGATTATCCCAAGTTCTAACTCTCTCAACTCAATATCCAAGGCAGGATAGATTATGTGCTGTTGGGTAAGATAGCATGAAATAAGTAGAGCAGGTACAATCTGAAGACAAGTATACATGCAGAGAATAAGACACCTAATTTTGTTAGGTGCTTTTACTATGTATTGTGTAAAGTAACAATCTTCTTGGTGTAATTTTATAGGATGATTTTTCAGGATTGTCACCATACGAAAGGAAGAGACTGAAGAACATATCAGAAAATGCAGAGTTTTTTGCTTCTCTTCAGTTGTCTGAGGTTTGTATAGAGTTTCTAATTAAAACCAAAATGCCTTTCCTCTTGCTAGTAGGTCAATAAGATACTCATAGAATCAGGTTTCATAGTGTCAAATGAGAGAGAGTGAAATTAGGAGCAAGTTTTATACTTAATAGAAAGAGGTTTACCATATTTTATTTATTCCAGGACATTTTTTTTTTCATTGTAATGTTTTTAAAGTTAACATCTTGAAACTATAACTCTTCCTTTTGGTAATACATAAAATAATGGTATTTTTGGAATGGTTGTCTTGGTTTCAGAGGAACAGGCATGTTCCAAGTGGTTGCTTTAAGTAAAGGATAAAGGAGAAGTGGGAGGGATGGGTTGAGAGATGTGTTGTAGAGTAGTGAGAGGACAGATATTTTCTTTTCTTTTTTTTTAAATCTTAAGCTTTAAGAGTAGATAGGAATATATTTTGTATAAGGAGCTTTAAGGCTAAATGGCCCAGATGTATGCTGTTTTGTAATCATTATGACTAAAGGTATAATTTACATTGGTGTCTTCACATAGGGGAAAAACAATTATGATTTGATTTATAACTTGTAACTCTTCTGGAAAATATAAAAGTAGGATTGCCTCTAGTAGAAGTTAAACCTTTTAATTTGTAGTAGTGTATTTGATTGAATGTTTAATGTTTAAGCATGTAAACTCATAGCAGCTTGGTCCAACATATCAGAATGTCAGTACTTTAGACAGTTTTATGTAGTTGCCAATATTATTGATAGTATGTATTGTCTTGTCTCATGTCTACTACCAAGAGTAGGTGTATCTTAAGGATCTTTATTTCCTGTATAGATCTATGGTTAGCATGGATAAAGTAGCAGATACTTAATATTTTAAAAGGTAAGCTTGTAATTAAAAGATAGTATTTTTATATGTATACATTTTATGTATTTGTAGTCAGCTGCAAGGCTCCGTGAAATGATAAAGAAGACACATCCTCCTGAATCCAAAAGGTAAAAGATTTGGTTTACAATGTCTGTACCATGATACATTGCTGAATTGTTTTATAACTTGGAAAAATGGTTCAGCATAGTAAAATAACTAACAGAATAGAAACTCTGTAATTTAATCTTAATCCTTATAGGGTCTCTGAGAGAATGCTACCTTTCAGTAACTGTAAAGTTCTCATCTTTATCAAAGGAATAGGGAGGAAATAGAATCTTGAGAGCTGAATTTTTAAAATATGTATTGTTGCTGCAAATGGTGATCTTTATTTCCACTAAATTATTCTTATTTTTGCCTAGAAAACTGTTATACTTAAAGGGTCTCTACTTTTTTTTAGTTTTTCTGGCCATCTTTTTGCTTGTCAATTTGTTTATTCTTTCCCATGCCTAGAATAAAGGAAGGAAATAGTGAACATCTATGAAATACAGTGCAGTGACCAAAAAATTTTATCCTGTATTATCTCATTTAATTCTGACAGTAGTTAGATGTGGGCTATTATATATCTATTTTTTTGAGATAGAAAACAACCTCAAAGAGGTAAAGTAATTTACACAAGGTCAAAATAGCTAAGTGGAACCTTCAGGATTTGAAAGCTAGGATTTTTTTAGTTTACGTTCTCTCTGCAGTTTAGCAGTGTTTGTGTATAAATGAAGAAACTAAAAATCTTGATATCATTGGATCATTTGTTTAGTGCTAGATTGCTAATGAAATGTAGTATCATTTAATTGGCTTGATTCCAGTATAGGTCAATGAGCTTGAGAAGAGCTAAACCTTTATCTTGACCACGTATTTGTGAGTATGAAAAGTTATAAGGGGGATATCATTAATCTTGGAAAACAGTAGCACTGATTTTCTTTCCAGCTGATCAGTAGCTTTACATTTTCTTATTTTTTTGAAGTCTGATATTATCTATTTGTTAGTCAAAAAAATCTCACTTTTGACTGGATTCAGACTTAGACATAGAAGCTCTCAGAGAGGACAGCTTCTGTCTCTTGGCAGTCTGTTTCTGGTATTTTTCTTGGCCAAAAGTTTAGCATATTCTGCAGCCTCTTCCTTATTCTTCTTAGTCTGCTGTTTCATCAGAGCAATACGCTGATGTTTGTGTTGCAGGACATGTAGAGTAACAAGATGCTGAATCTTAGTTGCTTTGATCCTAGGTTTGTTACCTTCTTGTTTAGGGGTTTCTCACAACATACTGGTGTACAACTTCTTTACAGAGATTGAGAAGTCTGCAGATTCTGCTAACTCTTTTGGGTCCCAGGGAACAAGGCACAGTAGTATCAGTGAGCCCAGAAATAGCCTTCTCCCCTTTTTTTACTTTGACACCACTCAAAGGAGCATCCACAGTGCAACCCCTGAACAGATTTGCACTTGCTTTCTCCAGTCCTTGGTCTGTAGCAGACATGTCCCTCACTTAGTAGGCAGACATGGTCATGGGTCAAGATGCCCTGTTTTCATGGGTAAACCTTGTTTGTCATTCCCACTACTGCTTTGGTTTGTTTAAGTTTTGTGTTTCTTCCTTGGTCAGTCTTGGAAGGTTGTATTTTTCTAGGAAGTTGTCCATTTCTTCTAGGTTTTCCAGCTTGTTAGCATATAGGTTTTCATAGTAGTCTTTAATAATTCTTTGTATTTCTGTGGAGTCTGTCATGATTTTTCCATGCCCCACTACTGCTTTGGACCACATAACCCTTCCAGTCTTTAC